AGAAAAATTTTACAGCAATGAAATTACTCTGTATGATATTATAATAAAGAATGTTGAAAAAAAATATATAGCTCCATATCTATATCCATAGCCTGTACCAAACCCAGAGGTAGTCTGAAGTGATAATGATGTATCAATGTAGATTCGTTAATTGTAACAAATGTACTACACTGGTGGGGGGATGTTGATAATGGAGAAGACTATGCGTGTAAGGGCAGGGGGTATGTGGGAAAACTCTATAACTTCCTTTTAATTTTATAATGAACCTAAAACTACTTTAAAAATAAAGTTTATTAAAGTAAATAGGAAGAGAATATATATAAACAGGAGGCTAATCTTCTTGGTTTATTATAAAATTTAGATTTGCAGAAGGCATAAAAATATATTAAACTATTTAAAATGATCAGTGTAGTAATATGGCAGCAAAGAGAAAGTGGTTATCACAGAAAACCAATATGTGTTAAATGCAGATAATATATTGAATGAACTGTAGAGTGAAACTTGTTATTAAATTAGCATAGTGGAGATCACTGGGCTTCTTTCTACTGTATGATAAACTCAAGGATCTGGCCTGGATTCAATACATTTCAATAGAAGAAAAAGAAAGACTACATGAGTAGAGCATTCTTTTTGATGATGTACTACAACATAGAAGCACAGAAAAGGATACAGTGGTAACTGGAGGAAGATGTTGAGTTAAAAGTGACATTTATTCATTTGTTTTGTGTGATATATAATACAGTGTTTCCTAATGTTGATATGAATTGCTCTTCAGGAAGAAAGGGAAACTTGAAAATGGGAATTTTTTATATAGATGCACCAGTGGGATTCAATGCACATGTGGAGAGCCTAACCTTGGATGGAAACATTTATGATTCATCCACTGTAATAGGGAAAAAGAAAAAAGAAGTTTAATGAATTTGGTACTGGGTAGATGTGGGAAAGTTCTTGATTGCTTGAATTAGCTCACTGGTAAAAAAAAACAAAATTGTCAACTGATTTATGACTGGGAAGTAGATTTGGAGAATTAGTTTCACAGAAAAGTAGAAAAATGAATTCATAGGACAAGTATAGGAGTGCCCACTTGAGAGTTACATCGGTTAAAAAAAGGTGTGTGTGTGTGTGTGTGTGTGTGTGTGTGTGTGTGTGTCCCCAGTTATATCTACATGCTGCTTTACAGAGGAGAATGTTTAATTCAAGTGTAGTTGTAGTCCACATACCCCAGTTTGAAGAGTTTAATCAAGAGAGATAGAGCAAACTGGAGGATATATGCAAGGGTATAATTAAACACGTGGACAATTGGTTCTAGGACCTCTCTGCAGAGAAGTGACGATGTGAGAGGTTGATGAAAAGTGAAAAAGTCAGTAGTTTGTAGGTCATGGAAAAGTCTATAAAGATTTTAGAGTCAAGGTATTTGAATGATTAAACTATAAAAAGAGAAGGTGACAGGGAGATAACTGAAATCGAGATTCAGCAGGTGGTTCTATTGTTGTTAATTAAAAATCTAGGTATGACAATTAGAATGTCTGAGGTAAGAGAGAAGAAAAGTTCGTTAGAAGACAGGAAGTCAAGGGTTGCCTGTGTGGCTCAGTCAGTTGAGCATCTGACTTTGGCTCAGGTCATGATCTCATAGCTTATGAGTTTGAGCCCTGCATCAGGCTCTGTGCTGACAGCTCAGCCTGGAGTCTACTTTGGATTCTGTGCCCCCCTATTATTTATCTATTAATATATTTACCTATTTAACATTGAATGACCATAAATTATAAAATATACAATTGGTGAAATACAATGAAATTCACTAAAATCCTCACTGAATGAAGAGAAATATGAAGGAAGTAGATGACTGCAGATAGGGATAGATCACGTTATATTATGTGAAGGCATAGAGATCAACGTGTTGGTCATTTTAAGTGCCCAGATATTAAGGAATTTGGGGAGGTTGAGGTGTTTGTGGGAACTCAGATAACCTAGAATGTAGGGCATAATGAGTCTAACTCTCTTGCTAAATTAGAGACTTAGTCATGTTGATCATGTTCATATGGGTAACACTGCCCTTTATAGTTTCCTTTATGGCAGTGGCTCTTAGGCAGAACATTTAAGAGGAAATAAAGTATAAGTCTCAGCAGGAACATAAGGAGTTCTCTGGGTCTTAGTTCAACCACGCTATCTTACTATACGAAGGAAGGCAAGAAATGAAGAGGCTTAGAGTAAATGCTAGAACTTGAATGAAAGCAATGACAACTCATGCCACCCCATCAATTATTTAACAGAACAAAGCGTAATGACAAGTCTTTCTTAAGCTAGTATTATATATGACATGGTGTTATGTCATGGCTGCATGTTATTTTTATCAATATTTTTTAATGTAAAAATAACCCTGAATACTCACTGATGCATTATTTCAGAGATATCCCGATGGTATAGACATGTCCTCCTTTGGGGGAACCAAACAACTAAAAATGCAAAACAAAAATTTCAAAATTATTGAACATTCATAAGTGAAGGATTGAACTTATCAAATATCTTTCATTGCCTAAGAAAGTATTTTTTTGCACTAACTTTTTACTCTTCTCAATCACCTGGACAATTTTTAAAACAAGTACGTATTCCTTTTACTTCTTTTTTTTTCAGAAACTCAAAATTTTATGATTACTTTAGTATAAATAAATCAAAGAAGTTTGTGTTTATCTAGTAAGAATTCAGATTTTTTTTAAAAAAGTGGTTGAAAAGTTTCAATATTTAGGAAAAGAGAAATGTGTGGAAGGATATCAAATGGAAAAGCAATAGAAGTTGGACCAAATTTAAAATTTATCTGAAAGTCATTCAAATGAAATGTTGTACAAATAATTGATTTGGAAATACAACAGCAAACTGTTCTTGGTAGAATAAAAACAGTTACTAGCTCGGCCAAGCTAGGAATGTGACAGGTTAATTTATTTTCAAATAGTATAGCTTTTCTGTTCCCAGTTCCTCTTGTAAACAAGAGTAGGGATGCGTGAAAATTTTATAGAGTATGAAATAGAAGATAAAGGAGATTTTTGAGGATATGAGTCTAAATAAAATTTCAATTTAAGTGAAATAGTATTAAAATAATTATTTATTAAATTAGCATCATAGCTTTTGCTACATAAATAACTTATAAAAGAGAAGGATTTAATATGACTGGTGAAAGTGCAACAAGGGTCAAGTAAGTATGAAACAATATTATAAGAAAAATGAATAGAACCATGTGTTCCTGTTTAAAATATTTTTGATTCTATACCTTTTCATAAACATTGCAGTATTGGGGTATAGGAACCAAGCATACTCACTGTATCTTAATTCAATTTAGGGGGTTCACTTCAGTTATTTTTTTAAATGTCTATTTATTTATTTTGAGAGAGAGAGAGAGCGCGTAAGCCCTGGAGGAGCAGAGAGAGAGATGGTGAAAGAGAATCCCAAGCAGGCTCCACACTGTCATCATAGAGCCTGACACAGGGCTTGAACACATGAACCATGAGATCAGGGCCTGAGCTGAATCAAGAGTGGCACCCATAACTGACTGAGCCACCTAAGCACCCTATCAGCTATTCTGAATATAGGAAAGTTGATTGGCCAAGAAAATAAGTTTGTTACCAAACAGTTATTTTTACTCTTTTTTAAATATTACATCATAAAAAGTATGTAAAATACTTTACAGTACATACATAAAGTACATAAAAATGCTTTACTGTTACTAGAATAAAAAAAAAAAAATTCCAGAAACTGAAAAATAAAACCTTTGGTTACTGTGTAGATTAGTTTCATAAAATATAGGGGTAATTTAGTTTCAAAAAAACATTTGAGAGGCTACCTTATAGTTTTAAAACTCCATGTACTGGGGAGTTTAGGGGCTTTAGAAACAACACACACGTGCATACAGGCACATACTTCTTGGGTAGATATTTATACTGTACGGCATGTATCACTAATGCATTTATTATTACATGGGCTTTATTAGTACAAACATACCAAATTATAACTTGGGAGACTTGGGTCCTATTTCCTACTCTTGCTAGTTCAATTATAACCTTGAACTGACCATTACCCTTTGAATATTCTTTTCTATAGCAGAGATAATAACGATGCCCTCATCACATGCATATTGTGATAACTTGAGCTTGGGAATTGTCTACAGTATAAAAATACAAGACAATATTTTAGTAATTATGAAAGGCAATAGAAGTTCCAAAAGAAGGCCTTTGCCTTCTCCTGAATCGCCAGTATTCCTCTGGAAGGCTTTATTAAATGCCAAGACTTTAGGCATTTAAGTTTTATGTAAGCTTTGTGGTAACCACAAAGCAATAACCTATCATCGATACGCACAAGGTCTGTATGGAGTTGTTCTGGATTCCCATCCTAACTTAAAGAGAAACATTTACGATATCTGGAGTCCTTAATATCCTGCAAATGGAGGAGGATGTCCTCAAATTCCTTGCAGCAGACACCCACTTACGTAGCACCAACCTTGACTCCGAAAGAGAACAATAATCCACAAAAGTAAACGTAAAGGCGTCTGTATTTTAAGTCTGAAGAGAACCTGAGAGCAGCTCACGGTGGCAACTGGTGCCATTGCTGTCGCTGAAAAGTGGGCTGATGTTAGTGTCACCTTCTCAAGAAATACTTGCCAGCGAGGTGAGCTGGAGTTTGCTGAGACCACTGGAGCCAGTCGTATCATTTGGCCGCTTCACTTCTGGAAACTTCAGTAACCAGTTCCAGGGAGCCTCCTGTGCTGCGACTTCTGATGGTTACATAGCTAAGGGCTGACCGCTATCCTCTCAGAGAGGCTTCTTACGTTAACCTGCCTATCGCTGTTCTGGGTAACAGGGACTCTCCTCTGCATTATTTGAACAGAGCTCTCCCGCGCAACAAGGGAGCTCCCCAGGCGGGTCTGTTGTGATGGATGCCACCTTGGAAGTTGTGCACATGCGCAACACCGTCTCCCGTGAGCGCCCACGGGAGGTCACGCCTTCTCTTTCGTGCAGAAATTCTGAGAGGATTGCAAAAGGAAAAGCAGGACCCGGGTGATGGGGCTGTGACAAAGGAGGAATTTCAGGGTAAGTGGACTGCTTCAGCTCCCGAGTTTACTGCAACTAAATCTGTTACACAGAGTTTTTAAAACAGATATTTGTCTGTTTGTTTTTGTTTATTTTTAAAGTTGGCTTCACGCCCAGCTCCCGGCTTAAACTCACGACCCTGAGATTAAGACCTGAGCTGAGGTAAAGAGTCAGTTAGAGGCTTAAATGACTAAGCCTCCTTTTGCCCCCACAGACTTTAAAGACTTTTTTCCTGGGGGTTGTGGGGGGTAATTTTTTTATTTTGAGAGAGAGAGAGAGGTGGGGAGGGCCAGAGAGAGAGAGAGGGAGAGAGAGAAACCTAAGCAGACTCTACTGGTAGCACGGAGCTCAACATGGGGCTCCAGCTCAGGAACCGTGAGACCATGACCTGACCCAAGCCAAGAGTCAGACGCCTAAGGGACTGAGTCACCCAGGTGCCACTCCTCACCTGCAGCCAGACATTTAAACAGAAAGGAGAAAAAAGGTTGCTAGAAAATACTTCCTAAAAAAAAAAAAAAACCCACAAACAAAACCTGTTTCCTTGATAGGTATAGTGCTGTGCAACTCGTCAAATGCCAGCCATGTTGGCTTTCACAGCGTGGCATTTTGGGGTCTCATCCCTCAAATAAGTCTTACAAATTGGGGCACTAGCTGTGTGGTTCAAACATTTTGCTTCCCAGGAAGAAGCTGGGAGTTGGGACTTCCCTACCGGTTTTATGACACTGTGTCCAGGTGGAGTTTATGGTAAACCTTTCCTACCTGTTGCAAGTGGGTATGTTCGCACTTGCCTGATGTGAAGGGCTCATTCATCTAGTTCCTGGATTTCAGATTGCACCCTGTGTAGCTGTACATTCAGTTTATTCTTGGAGTAGAGGGGAAGTTCAAGAGTCTTTGATGTCACCCTCTTGGTCCCTCCCTCTTACTCTTTTATTAAAAATAGATAATTCATCAATCCTGGATTTTATGTCCAAGATTTTATTTTATTTTTAAAACTATCTTTAAGTGATCTCTAAACCCAACATGGAGCTCAAATTTACAACCCCGAGATACAAGTTGCATGCTCTATCAACTGAGCCACCTAGGCGTCCCTCCAAGATTTGAGATATTGGCTTATTTGTGAAAATATTTTGCTGGCCAAGGGCACCTGGGTGGCTCAGTCAATTGAGCTTCATCTTTGGCTCAGCTCATGATCTCCCTGTTCATGAGTTAAAGCCCCTGACAGCTCAGAGCCTGGAGCCTGCTTTGCATTCTGTGTCTCCCTCTTTCTCTCTGCCCTTCCCCTGCTCGTGTTCTGTCTCTCTCAGAAATACATAAAAACATTAAAAAAATATTATGCTGGCCAATAAACAGACATCTGGCAAACCTGTCATTCTTGGATCCCCTTAGATCTCTTAGAATAAAATCTGCTTGGAAAAGTAATAGTAAGTCTAAAGGTTGCAGGAATAATAAACATTTTGTTCAGGGTGTGATCTTCTGTCGTAGGACTACAATTACTTTTTGGCGTTATATTTTGTCCTTGATAATTAAGATTCTCTAAAAGTTCATAACTTCCTTGCTTAGCAAGCTCTTATCTACAAATCAAATTATTTTAGACCATTCTCCTTTTTCATAATTTCCAAGGATAAAAGATCAAAGATTTGAGCTAAGTAAGCATTTGATGCATAAAAGTAGTTAACTTCTTAGATATAAAGTAGAAACATATTACTTATAAACTAATCAGTGAAGTAGCAAGTTACCTGAAAAGTGATGCTTGAACTCAAATACCTCACTGACCCCAAGAAATTCAAGTTTTTCATACTTCTTACGGTTTTTAAAAATAATGTCAATCATACTTTATATTAGAAATTGCTGTTTTAAGCTTCCACATGGGTGCAAGGTGATGAAGAAATAAGGAAGACTGCTAATTTGAAATTTTCTCCAAAAAACCTTATATATACTTAAGTGCACTTAAGAGAAAATCCAAGCATCCATCAAATTCTTTATTATCCTGAAAAAGGAAATATAGAACTAGAACTCCTTGAGGAATTAAGTAACCTTCCAAGACTTGGCAAGAGTACCAAAATGTTAAAAAAAAAAAAAAATAGAATTGGGATGGTCTACTGGAAATCAAAACAAAATACACACATACTGACTTTAAAGTCAAGAAAACCTGTGGTAAATATCTACTTAGAAATTAAAAAAAAATTTTTTTTAACGTTTTTTATTTATTTTTGAGACAGAGAGAGACAGAGCATGAACGGGGGAGGGGCAGAGAGAGAGGGAGACACAGAACGGGAAGCAGGCGCCAGGCTCTGAGCCATCAGCCCAGAGCCCGATGCGGGGCTCGAACTCACGGACTGCAAGATCGTGGCCTGAGCTGAAGTCTGACGCTTAACCGGCTGAGCCACCCAGGGGCCCCTCTACTTTGAAATTAAATAGCTGTATACTTATCTTCATTTTTTTGAAACTTTATTTTTTATTAGTGAATTGAGTAAAATAGCAAACAAATCAAATAATTATTCTATTAATTTATATTACATTATTGAAACAATCATCATCCTTTAGGATAACTCATTTGTAAAACTTTATTGTTGAAGAAATCTTGACTGAGATAAATATGCTATTTCAGGTCATTCTATTGATTTTTAAAGCCTGAAGGAAAGCATATTGTAAGAATTTGTGTGTGTGTGTGTGTGCGCGCGCACGTGTATGAAGTTGCTTACTAATATTTCACTTAACTGCAAGTTTTGGAACTTAACATCATTCAGTTAGTATATAAATAGATTGGATTGTTTCATTACATATATTATTCATGTTCAAAACAATTACATATGTATTGATACCAAGCTAAGTATCATCTTCATTTTACAGAGGAGAAAACAGTGGCTCAGAGATTCAAGCTTAATATCCTGCTTTTCATAAAGTCAAAATAGCACCAAAACAGAACTCAAAGAACACTGGACTGAACTCCAAAAAAAACCATACAACTCTTCCCAGACCATTACCTATTCACACAGCAGACTTGATAAGAAGAAAAAAATGACACACTATCAAATTTCCATTTATGTAAGTATGAGATTTAACTGCTTCAGACGTAAAGAAATTTGAGTAAGAAAATATAGTTCTTTTTTCTTATAAAGCATTTAAAAAAACTTCATTGTTCACAGTGCTTGAATTTAAATTTGATGTGGACTCTTGACTTTTGTTCACTGAAGCATTTCCTATTAGCATTCTAATTACATCAAACACACATACTGGAACTGTTATTCTGTGCTTATTATTTCCATATAGACTTCATTGAAAATTAAGCTCTAACTTACGTTATCTCAGTGGAGTTCCAGAACATGACATTTAGTACTTGAGAAATCAAAGTTGCATTATTTTTTTTATGTTGTAACCATAGCAGTTATATGTGTGCTTCTTGTTTTTCAAGCCTGAAATTAACTACTTGAAATGTGCATTTTAACTATATGATAAGCATTGAGTTCCAAAAAAAGAGTTTGCTTTGGTGAAGAATAACTAAGCTATGGGCATTGATTTCAATCTTTAATAAAATGCAGATTACCCATTAAAAAGCAAAGCCTTCATTTCATAAATTGAATAGAAAGATGATTGAAATAATTATAACTGGTTAAAGTAGGTCACTTTGAAAAGTCAAATATAAGTATCTCTCTAGAGGGCTTGTAGTGTTTTTATTTAATTTTGAATAGAAAATATTTTCACTTATTTTAAACATTGAGTGTTTTGTTTTCTTCCCTTAAAACTAGAATTGACTGGTATGAATATTTCAACATAAAGTCTTTATTTAAAAATAAATCCTGAAATTTTTATTAATTTTAGATAAACACATCTTCAGTATTCACTGAGATTAAAATTCTTACAGAAGATATTTATTCTTCTACTTTGCTAACAACTCAACCTTATGATAAGTAGTATGGTCTAATAGTCACTCTTGAAATAAGATAAAAGTCTAGTGAAATATGTTGAATGTTAAAAGGAAAAGAAACAAAGGCCAACCTAAAAGTCTGTATCTAGTGAAATTATCATTTAAATAATGAGTATATATTAAGACAAATAAAAATTGAGGGCATTTTTTCCCAGTAGACCTGTCTTAAAGGAAATTTTAAAAGAAGTTCTTTATAGAAAAGGAAAATGATACAGTTCAGAAATATGGGTCTATGTAAAGAAAACAGTAGTGTTATAAAGGGACTATTATAGGTAAAATAAAATATTTTATTTTCTCCTTTTTAATTTATCAGCTAAAATTTTATTTAAAATAATGTATTAGGTGGTTATAGTGTGTAGATAAAGTAAATGACAGATATGTTAGACAGGTGGGAAAATTTGGGAATATTCTGTTATAAGGTGTGTGCACTACACATCAAGGGGTACAGTGCAATATGAAGGAAGATTTACATGAATTGTAAATTATATTTCCAACTCTCAGGCAAACACTAACAACAAAAAAGGAAGTATAATTAACATGCTGAGAGAATAGAAAATGAAGTCATGAAAAACTATACTTCCAGCTGTTCAGAATTTGTTGTCTGTTGTTTGTTTTGTTTTGTATTATTGCCAGCTTTTTTTTGCGGTGTTCAACAAATGAGGACAGTTTTATTCATTATTTTATATCTTTGTGCACTTTTAAAAAATTTTATTTGACTAGCTAGACCCTTCTAGTACTATGTTGAATAGAGGTTGTTAAGAAGAGGTATCATGGTCTTTTTCCCAATGTGGGGAGGAGAGACACTCACTTATTATTAACTATGACGTTAGCTATAGGTGTTCTGTAACTGTCTATTACTAGTTTGAGAAAATTCAATTCTGTTGGTAGTTTCCTAAACGCTTATAACAGGAATGGATGTTACATTTTATCAAATGCTTTTCCTGCATTTATTGATATTATCATGTGTAAATTTTAGATTTGTTTGCTTGTTTTGTCTTTCCTATCCTATTATATGTAGAAGTAGGTAATGTTATTTATGTTCATTGATTTATGGTTTTTAAACTATCAAATTTTCCTTAGATAAACCCCACTTGGTCATGGTGTGTAAAGGTTTATATGTTTATAGATTCAGTTTGTTGTGTGTATATTCATGAAAGATATTTTTCTGTGGTTCTTTCTTTCTTTCTTTCTTTCTTTCTTTCTTTCTTTCTTTCTTTCTTTCTTATGTCTTCCTCCTATATCCATGTTGGGGTAATATAAAGAGTTGGAAAGTTAGGGTAGGATTAGGATATCTTTACCTTAGGTGTTTGATAAAGTTAACTCAGTTTCATTTATGGGAAGATTTTTTTTTTTTTTAATTTTTTTTTCAACGTTTATTTATTTTTGGGACAGGGAGAGACAGAGCATGAACCGGGGAGGGTCAGAGAGAGAGGGAGACAGAGAATCGGAAACAGGCTCCAGGCTCTGAACCATCAGCCCAGAGCCTGACGCGGGGCTCGAACTCACAGACCGCGAGATCGTGACCAGGCTGAAGTCGGACGCTTAACCGACTGCGCCACCCAGGCGCCCCTATGGGAAGATTTTTTAATTAGTTCACCTTTACTACATGATCTATTTACAAATTTGATTGATTCTTCAATTTTGGTGATTTTTGTCTTTCTAGGAATTTGTTGATTTCATCTCATTTGTCTTATTCTGTAGCATACAGCTATTCATAATATTTCTTTATAATTATTTTAACATCTTAAGATCTATAGAGGTGCTCTCTTTAATTTCTATAAATTGAATTGTAATGACCATCTACACTGAATATATGTTTCCCTTACACTGCTATTAGAAAAATTCATAATGAGTGCATTATATGAAAATGAGATGCTTAATACCATACAGAGAAGTTCTTTATCTTCATGTAATTCAAGGAAGATTTCTATTTTTAAAATTTTATCTCACTGTTTATATTTCTGAAGGTATACTAATAACCTATTTACTCATTCAGTTACACTTAACCTTTCATTCTGCTTTAAAATAAATTAGGTAAATGATAAAGAAAAAATTAGAAAAAACAACTCTGATCTTTAAGAGTATCTCACTACAGGGTACCTGGGGGGCTCAGTCATTAAGCATCTGACTTCAGCTCAGGTCATGATCTCACAGTTCTTGAGTTCAAGTCTCACATCAGGTGTGCTTGAGCCCTGCTTCAGGTGAACATGCTCATCACTTCAGATGAGCCCCAGTTCTCTCTTCCTCTCCCTCTCTTTCTCCTGGGATTCTCTTCCTCTCCCTCTGCCAATCCTGGGATTCTGTCTCTCTTTCTCTGCCCCTCACTCAATTGCACACACTCTCTCTCAAAAAAAAAAAATTTCTTACTACATAAAGGATTCTTAGAATTTTAGCAGCCATCTTAATTTTAATGGCAATTCACACTTCAACCCTAACATTGTCCTACTATCCCGTATGTTATATGTAATGTATAGCATATGACATATTCTCATATGTGGCATAAGATAATGTTTCTTGGGGTGCCTGGGTGGCTCAGTAGGTTAAGTGTCCAACTCTTGGTTTCGGCTCAGGGCATGTTATTACAGTTCTTGAGTTCAAGCCCCACATCGGGCTCTGTGCTGATAGGATGGAGCCTGCTTGGGATTCTCTCTCTCTCTGACCCTCCATGCCTTCTCTCTCATAAATAAAAATAAATAAATAAAATAAATGAATAAAACTAAAAATAAAAAGAGAATGTTTCTCAAACTGCAGATTTTTAAGAACCATGGGGTCTGCACAAATTCTGACTCAGCTCCTGTCAGTAATTTCAGGTGATTTTGATGTAGTGGTCTTAAATACTCTTAGTGAACACTGTTCTAAGAGGACTGTATAACACTGATATCTATGCAGATCAGTATAGTTTCTTTTTATTATTGTCCCAAGTAAAAACTATGTTAACCCATACTTTGTACAGTCAAGCAAATGTTTGATAAATACCATTTGGCATAACATCAAAATCTGGTTGAATTTAATTTTTATCTTCCTATTTGTTATGCAGCTTATTGTTTTATAATTCTTGAAAAAATACTGAATTTTATAGAAAAATAGAGAAGTTTCCAATGTAATCTGATCTTTAAAAGTCTGTAGTGGTATAGCACAATTTTCAAGATAAAAAGGCATACCTGGCTTGTTGTATGCATTTTTCTTCATGTGTAAACTTTATTGACTGACATACCCCCCCTCACAGACCTCAAAGCAGACTTTGTTTCATTCCATCTTTGAACTGTGTTATTATACAAATATGTGTTTCAAACTTAAATTGTCATTTGTGTAAGTTAATATTCAAAATGCTGTTTTTGGGGCGCCTGGGTGGCGCAGTCGGTTAAGCGTCCGACTTCAGCCAGGTCACGATCTCGCGGTCCGTGAGTTCGAGCCCCGCGTCAGGCTCTGGGCTGATGGCTCAGAGCCTGGAGCCTGTTTCCCATTCTGCGTCTCCCTCTCTCTCTGCCCCTCCCCCGTTCATGCTCTGTCTCTCTCTGTCCCAAAAATAAATAAACGTTGAAAAAAAAAATTAAAAAAAAAAAAAAAAACAAAATGCTGTTTTTGTTTGGTGTATTTGCAGCTTGATTGTTGATCAAGAAATATAAATAAATTTCTAATAACATTTTTCACAAAAAATTAATTTCAGAAGTAATGATTAAGACTGTAATGTGATTTCTATAAAAATGATGACTCAACATTTCAGAATTGTGAAATACATGTCAAAACAAAATATTGTTTTAAAAAACAAAACTGCCAAACCACTTGATGCCACTGATAGATATGATAGAATCATGTCTCCAAATAAATGTATGTCCTAATTCCTAGGATTTATGAATTTTACCTTACATAGTAGAAAAGACTTTGCAGATTTGATTAATTTAAGGGGATTATGTGGGTGTGTCCTGTGACATCATTAAGATTCATAGAAGTGGAAGAAGAGATAGGCAAGTGAGAGAGACAGGGAAATGTGACCACAAAAGAATGGTCAGAGAGATGCAATGGT